ATAAATGCAATATTGTTAAACTTGTTTTTATACTTCTTGAGAAAAGTAGAACGAAAGGCAACAATCTAGGAAAAGTTGAAAATAACAATCAAGAAACTGTTTTCGTATAACATTAGACTAAAACACGATTATTGAAGTATTATAATATATGCTAATATTCTGTTGCTTATGATTTAATTTTTAGCATAGAATTTCGATCTGTGATAGTCTATATGTATGTTTTTATTGATTTTAAATATTTTTGATGAAAGACTCGTGTCAGGAAAAATAAAATAATTTTTGTAATCCAACAACTATTGGAATTGGAAGGATAAAAATTGTTTAATTACACATAAGCAAAATTGAACCAATAACTACAAGTTTTGTATAAATCATTATATACTGTTAAGAAGATAGGAGAATATTAAAAAATAAACATTATAGTCATTTTTATAACAGCCAGAAGTAACACAAGAAATTTTTTCAATAATTAATATCTCCTCGTTCAGTAATGACAATAAAAATAGATTGACTCGGTTTTGCACCGGTCCATAAAAAGAATCTTTACGTGGAATGTTCTAGCAGTTTGGTATGGTTACAAAATGTTATTGCACGTCTTAGCACTCTGTTTCTCGCAATCAGTCGAACGGAAAAGCACGCAAGTGAAGTAAAAATAAATATAAAGTCAATTGCACCACATTGTTTAAAAAAAGTAATTTCTCTTTTGAATGACGGCGTGTTAACGCTCCAGACGGCGAGAAAATGTAGTATTAGTCAATCGACAGCGCAGAGAATAAGAAAAAAAGAATGTAAAAGTATATTATTAAATGTTGGAGGAAGACCAAAAAAATTATCACTGTAGGCTGAACGAAGAATTACACATACGGTTTGTCACATTTGGTGAAGCTTCAAGTGCCACTATGGCTGCATAATTATTAAAAGAAGATACGAATATACAAATAAGCAAGTGGGCAGTACGGAGAACCCTCAAAGGAGCTGAGTTTAGTTTTTAAAAAAAGAGAAGCCAATGTTATCGAAGAAGAATATTAAATTTCGTTTGGAATTTGCCAAAAAATACCAAAACAGGACAACTATTGAATGGGAACGGGTTATTTGGTCAGATGAGACCAAAATTAACAGAATTTGTTCAGATGGTATGTCTTGGTGCTGGATTCGTAAAAATGAAAGGCTTAAATCACGACATGTAAAGCAAATGGTAAAGCATAGAGGCGGATCCCTAATGTTTTGGGGATGCCTAACAGCATTTGATGTTGGATCACTGCACCGAATTAATGGCATCATGAATCAATATATGTACAAGGATATTTTACAAGATCATCTCATAAAGGCTGTTGAAAATATGCCTTTCGAAGAAGAAAATGTAATTTTCATGCATGACCGAGACTCTAAGCACACTGCTAAAAGTGTAAAAAATTGGCTCAATACTAAAAAATTCTCTGTTCTGGATTGGCCTGCGCAGAGCCCGGATCTCAACCCTATAGAGAATCTATGGGGTGTACTAAAAAGAAGACTTTGGGATTCATATGACTCCCAACCAACTTCAAACACAGATATGTATAATAGAATTCAAGAACAGTAAGAACAAAACGAATTAGTATAGTTTTGCAAGCAAAAGGGTTGTGGATGAAATATTAAAAATAAAGAATATATTAAATATTGTCAAGTATTGGACGTGGTGCAAAACCGATTCAATTTATTGTTGTTGTCATTCCTGAACAACAAGACATTAATTATTGCAAAAATTTCTTATGTTACTCCTAATTTTGATGAAAATAACTATAATGTTTATTTTTCGTTACTCTTGTATATTCCTAGCAATAAATAATGATATATACAAAACTTGTGGTTGTTGGTTCAGTTACGCTCCTTACTGTATATATAAAATTTTACTATAATATACAGGGTGTCCCGAAAATGTCTCGCAATCCGGAAATGAGAGGTTTCTGAGATCATTTTTCCTTTGCGGAAATTTTCTCCAAGGCTTCGTTTACGAGTTATTAACGAAAAACACTGACCAATAAGAGGCGAGCTCGGCTGGCGCGCAGCGGAGCAGCCAACGAGTGCACGGAGCCCAGTTACCCTCATTGGCTCGGCCGTCTCGCGCTAAATGATCTCGCCTCTGATTGGTCACTGTTTTTCGTTAATAACTCGTAAACGAAACCTTGGAGAAAATTTCCGCAAAGGAAAAAGTTGCTTCAAATGATCTCAGGAACCTCTCATTTTCGGATTGCGAGACGTTTTTGGGACACCCTGTATATACATATATTATAGTATATAGTTGATATATATCGAAATAAATTTTTCATAAATGATTCAAATACCTTTCAGAAAAGTGGTCAAGGCTCGAACATGTCTTTTTGGCCTGGCACTATCGACAACGTGACTTATTGATATGATAGGCGAAACTGACGAAATGCTCCCCGGCTTAAACGAAATTCCTTCAAAAGAATTTTACTTATTATATTTACAACTAATTTCGGTAGAAGTATTCCTTATAGAAATTCTTTGGTATTATTGTAGTATTCATTCACATTCTTAAAACAATAACTGCTCACCTGGACTACCAAATTTCGTAGGTGATCGGAATAGTGCAAAATCTGTCCCAAGCATAGACCTCATAGATAAATCAAAATATTGAAAATGTGGTTTGTTTAACTGAGAAACATAATTTACAGAGATCGCCATTTGTATCGCAAATATTGCTCCCAACACGATGAAGAAACAGATATAGAATACTATTAACTGTACTAAAATTTGAAAAAATATTTCATGTTAACAATGAAAAACATATTCAAATAATCTTAAGCTGATCTGAAAGTACGTTAAACAATTCATTTTGCAATAAAAGTATAGAAGGTATGCTACAGAAAGAGTAAATAAAAAATGCAAAGATTACTTGTATACAGTGTACATATATAGCATTGTCTGCCATATATGTATCATGTACTGTACATACATATAGTATAAG